TTTAATGAGGGAAATAAGTATTTGACCATCTCTCAATCTGAAAGATTTCTTGCTCCCAGGTGTCTTTTATACAGGTAACGAGCTGAGATTAGGAGCTCACTCTTAAAGGGAGTGCTCCTAATCTCAGCTTGTTACCTGTATAAAAGACACCTGTCCACAGAAGCAATCAATCAATCAGATTCCAAACTCTCCACCATGGCCAAGACCAAAGAGCTCTCCAAGGATGTCAGGGACAAAATTATAGACCTACACAAGGCTGGAATGGGATACAAGACCATTGCCAAGCAGCTTGGTGAGAAGGTGACAACAGTTGGTGCGATTATTCGCAAATGGAAGAAACACAAAAGAACTGTCAATCTCCCTCGGCCTGGGGCTCCATGCAAGATCTCACCTCGTGGAGTTGCAATGATCATGAGAACGGTGAGGAATCAGCCCAGAACTACACGGGAGGATCTTGTCAATGATCTCAAGGCAGCTGGGACCATAGTCACCAAGAAAAGAATTGGTAACACACTACGCCGTGAAGGACTGAAATCCTACAGCGCCCGCAAGGTCCCCCTGCTCAAGAAAGCACATATACATGCCCGTCTGAAGTTTGCCAATGAACATCTGAATGATTCAGTGGACAACTGGGTGAAAGTGTTGTGGTCAGATGAGACCAAAATGGAGCTCTTTGGCATCAACTCAACTCGCCGTGTTTGGAGGAGGAGGAATGCTGCCTATGACCCCAAGAACACCATCCCCACCGTCAAACATGGAGGTGGAAACATTATGCTTTGGGGGTGTTTTTCTGCTAAGGGGACAGGACAACTTCACCGCTTCCAAGGGACGATGGACGGGGCCATGTACCATCAAATCTTGGGTGAGAACCTCCTTCCCTCAGCCAGGGCATTGAAAATGGGTCATGGATGGGTATTCCAGCATGACAATGACCCAAACACACGGCCATGGCAACAAAGGAGTGGCTCAAGAAGAAGCACATTAAGGTCCTGGAGTGGCCTAGCCAGTCTCCAGACCTTAATCCCATAGAAAATATGTGGAGGGAGCTGAAGGATCGAGTTTCCAAACGTCAGCCTCGAAACCTTAATGATTTGGAGAAGTTCTGCAAAGAGGAGTGGGTCAAAATCCCTCCTGAGATGTGTGCAAACCTGGTGGCCATCTACAAGAAACGTCTGACCTCTGTGATTGCCAATAAGGGTTTTGCCACCAAGTACTAAGTCATGTTTTGCATAGGGGTCAAGTACTTATTTCCCTCATTAAAATGCAAATACATTTATAACATTTTTGACATGCGTTTTTCTGGATTTTGTTGTTGTTATTCTGTCTCTCACTGTTCAAATAAACCTACCATTAAAATTATAGACTGATCATTTCTTTGTCAGTGGGCAAACGTACAAAATCAGCAGGGGATTAAATACTTTTTTCCCTCACTGTATATAGATGAGACAGAGCAGGGCTTATTTCAGAAAATATGAGGGGAAGAGACACAGGTAAAGGAGTGTGGTTAATAGAACAATAGGCTGCTAAAATAACAATAGTCTGCTCGAAGAGCAATAGGCGACCAGAAGAGGAGCAAAACATGGGAATACAAGGAAAAATTACTGAGGTGGGCATCCAATAAATACGATGGAGAGGATTGTTAAGGAAAGCCATGGCAGATAGTGTTGAGGACGGGAGAGTGGCAGAGAAAGAGGAGAGATGGGAGGATAAACGCATTTCGAGAAGATCTGTACATTGCCAGACCTGGAACTATGCTGGAATAGAGGCTGTTGATGATGTATTTTATCTATATATATAAAATGGAAATTTGTGAATATGTGCGTCTGTTTGAAATGTTTAGCATACTTCCCGACATGCAACAAACTTGAAATTTGGCATGTGAGTAGCTTCCAGACTGTATACAATGCAAAAAGTATAAAAATAGACTTTTATTTGGGGGGGGGGGGGCGCAATAATGGATATATTTTGCACGGCAAGTGAGCGGTGACGTCATATCTGTGACATCACCCGCATGCGGCAGCGTCACGCAGTGTGCCTGCTGACGTCACGCATCTCCCCCCACCCTCCGCGTAGGCCCTGTATTAATCCAAGACAAGAATCCAAGTCTCGGGCAAAGCCGGGTAGTAAAGCTAGTTTCTTTATATATGTACTAATGGCAATCCAACATTCATATTATTGCTCCTTGCACTGATATCTAACACGATCACTTGAAATTCATTGGGAATCTTCTTTTTAACAACATTTGCAATGAATAACCCTGCCACAATGTGAATTTAATTACGGACAATATGGAAATAACTTCGTTGGTATAGTTACACAAATGGAAATTGTCAGCGTTATGAATATCCCGTACAATGCATTTATATTAAACAGAGCCAATAAAGATTCTGCGCGGCCCAGCGGACATAAATAAGTAATGGGATGCGCGCGTGTCTCACAACGAGCGTAAGGACAGCAACAGATTGCCCTGTACACCCTATCTTGGGGTGAGGTGGCTCTCGTCCGCGCAGAGCGAGATCTGGGAGTGCGGTGCTCGTGAAACGGGGCGTGCGAGTGGGAGCCAGGATTCGTTCGAGAGGTTTTTGCTTCCCCCTAATGAAATGCGGCTCGCGAGTCGGGACCGGCGCGCGATGGATGTTACCGTCCTGCGGCTGCCAAAGCCATCGCACGCTCCCCCGCTCGTGTCCGACGCTACGGGGAGTGCTCTGTTGCTGACGCGTGCGCTCCACACGCGTGCACGGACACGCAGGCGAAGATCGTCCCATTCGGCCTTGCAGATCGTGGTGTTCGCGAGCACCTATTAAAGCCGGCATGGCACACTCACTAGTGCAGATGTTTATACTCGTCACCAGGTTTAAGGCTGATTTGACATAGGGATGGCCCTAAGTGAATGAGGCTCCATGTTAAATATCTCGCCTGGTATGCAGAAGGTCGTGTCCCGACCCTGACGGCTGAATTTTTGGAGTTTGCACGTTCTCCCTATTTAGAGTAAGCTTTGTGCGAATGTTATGTTTATGGCTAATAACGGTTTGTGTCATATTTTGTTAACTATGTATGCTGTGATTTAAAGCTTTCGTGACTGCAGGGATTCATATTCTTGGTTCTTTCGGTAAAGTCACATAGAAGGGAAACAATAAAATAATAAAAAATATAAAGCAATAAAACGTCGTGAGAATTTTATTGTTTTATATTTGTATTATTTTTCTGTTTCCCTTCTACGTGACTTTACCGAAAGAACCAAGAATATGTATGCTCTTAGCTCTTTCGGTAAAGTCACGTTGAAGGGAAACAATAAAATAATAAAATATATATAAAACAATGAAAATTCTCACGACGTTTCGACCATAACACAAACGGTCGTCATGACATGCATGCAAACCGACACACCTGATGACGACCGTTTGTGTTATGGTTCGAAACGTCGTGAGAATTTTTATTGTTTTATATATATTATTATTTTATTGTTTCTCTTCAACGTGACTTTACCGAAAGAGCTAAGAATATGAATTACTGCAGTCACGAAAGCTTTAAATCAAAATTTAATATGTATGCTGTGTAGCAGTAATATACAGGCGTCCCTTGCGCAACGCGCGACATGCGTTGCTGAAAAACAGGGCATGAGTCGAATTGCACTGCATGAAGCCCGTTTGGCCATAGACGTGCATGTTGTAAGGGTGGTGCGTTACCGAAGACAAAATTAAGTATCGTTGCATTATTTTAGCCCTGGATTTACAAAGTGTCACTGTAATACGTGACAATATTAAAATTACAAACAATACTTAATAAGGAGTTTAATAACAAATAATAATTCAGGTTTAAAAGATTACTACTTGCAGAGATTACTTAATAAGGAGTAGCTTCAAGGCTTCTTGAACGCTTCCGTGTGGGCTGCTTCTACTCGGATCTATGGTGACTTCGCCCAGCCCATGAAGCTGGACGCTGCCATGATGCGGTGACGCCATTGGATTGAAATTTGAGTTGGTTATCCTGCGAAAAAAATATACTTAACTTTGAAAGATTATAAGTAAAAAATAGTTTTTACTTAAAAAATGAATAAAAAAATAATAATTCTGGTTTGTTCCTGAGCACGTAACTGTGAGAGGCATTGTGTAAGTGTGAAGTATGTCCCTAAAACATGAATCTCTTAAGGGAAGTAAGTTGTCACACTGCACTACGATCCGAGTGACTCCGTTTCGAATTCTGGTCATGCACAACACCGCCGGAAATTGGTATCTCAACCTGGCAACACAACGCAAAGTAAACTCCTCGTGTAATTTGAATATACAGCCAGTGATGAGCTTACTTGGGGAAAGTAATCAATATCCGATTACTGATTGCACGAGGCTTTAGAAGTATTTAAAATCTAATTCTATCGAGTAGAAGCACGCCCCTTGAGAGTTAGTACAAGTGTGCTTCTATTCAAAGTGGTGTGCTTGTATCAGAAATGTTCCTTTCCTGCCGCCAGTGTAATGTAAGCATGTGTCTATTATATAAGACTGCGCTTATATAAACATTTTAGTTGGTGGTACTGTGTGGATGGTTAATTACCATGGAAGATGTGTGATGGTAGGATGTGTGACTTTGTACTGCACTTGATTAATAGTTTTTTAGATCTGTTTGTAATAGTGGGGTTGGGGGGGGTGCTTTAACCGTCATACAAATGATCGATAATGAACCAAACTTCAATATACAATTGTGTGGCCATTAGGGACTAACCCCATGGAAAACTGACCAAAGTGATAATGCAGTCATCCAAAAACTGCATCACAAAAATATGAAAAAAGAAATCAACACCTTTTGTCAATGACACACTGTGACCTTTAAAGGAAAAGTACATAATTGGCAATAAATGGAGGAACGTGTTAATTGTGCTTGTGCACCACTGCCAACTCGGCAACGGTATCACCAAATCGTTTGTTTAATTTGGAGGCGCAAAAAGATAGCGTCCGCCCTTGTTTCGCTTGCGTCGTTTTTGACCGTCATCCTCGGGGTGCCGCTAGGTGATCAAGACGTACCACATGTACCACGCGGAGAGCCTCAGCGCCGAGAGCAAGCTGAAGGATGCCGAGAAGCAGGAGGAGAAGCAGTTCGGCCGCACCAGCGACCCCGTCTCCTACGCCTTCCGCGCCGACGAGCGGCACCAGCGCCGCAGCTCCGTGCGCAAGATGGAGAAGATGAAGGAAAAGGTGAGCGGGGCCCCCCCTGGTTGCTTCTATCTCAAGGTGGTGGCGCCGCGCTGGCGAGATGTTCACTCCCTTGCCTGGCATGCAGGAGGTCGTGGGTGCGATCTCGACCCTGACGCCTCTTCATTATTTGTTGTATTGCGTGTTCTCTCTCCTCGTGGTCGTGTGGATTTTGCTCCGGGTCCTCCGGTTTTTCCCTCCACATTTAGAATCAGCGTCACGCGTTCAGAGTGTTTGTGGCTGCTATAAATTTCCGCGCTAGAAGCCACTTCGTCGGTGCTATTATAAGTGGAATTTCCAACCACAGGCTCCGCGCCACTGATTTAAGATGAACTCCACCCCACCACTCGTTCTTGTTAATGCCAGTGCTCGAATGATGAATGGTAAACAAGAGGACTACTGAGATGTCTGTCGCATCCTACGTGAAACAGCGGCAGGCCAAGTACTCGGAGAACAAGCTCAAGTCGATCAAGGCACGCAACGAGTACCTGCTCACTCTCGAGGCGATCAACTGCTCGGTGCATAAGTACTACATCCACGACATCTCCGACCTTATCGACGTGAGTATTTATTTGTTGTTGCTGTTGTTTTTAAATCACGGTTGCCGGAATCACAGGATCAGAGACCCAAATTGCTGAACAAAATGGCACGATTGAATGTGCAATCGACAACAGTTGATATATTTATTGAATTGCAAGGTTGTAAGAAGCTGGATAAAGAGCCCGCCATGGAATGACTGCACGGTTGATTTTATAGCCCCCATCACGGAAGTGCGGAACTTTCATCTCCGCGCTGTTGGGGATGGCACATTAGGATCTATGGATGAAATCAGCCTCACAATTCTAAATTATTATCATCGTGCCAATGTGATGCAGTGCAGCAATTCCTCGCTTCACCCGGTTTTCGCTTAACGAGGCACTTTTCAGGAACGCATCTACCGCCGTCAAAGGATGGATTCACTGTCGTCCTCGTCAGGGTTAGGATTAATGCAGTAGGAAGACAGCATTGGTCATTGCAAAATCTGGACCAGCCCCCATCATAGGAATGAAGCCCTCCCACCAACTGGCTCTGGGGATGGAACGTACAGTAGACGTTAAGCCGGCCCCCGTGCTCATTTTTTTTTTTACGGGAAAGACACACTTGGAAGGAGAGGGGTCATCCCATAACGTTTACAAAAGTGCTTCTGTATTATTGTTATCAGATTAGGTATGGTCGTATAGGCACATGCATGGCACGTAAGTGATGGCTGGAGGATCCAGGAATGCTTCTCACCAGGAAGCCCAACGTCTGAATGCCCCCCTCGCCCGCCCCCCTCGCCAAGAAATACGTCTCGGACAGAACATCTCATTTGCACTGCAGCCCTGTTGAGAGTACAAGGTCGTATGCCACTGCAGATAACACGTTACAAAATGTGTATGCTTTTGTCTGCCTGCTGATGTGTTCACATTAATATTTGAAAAGTATGAAGGGTGTTTTTTTTCTTCTCTCCACTGATAATTCTACAATCAGTTCTGTGTCTTCATCCGACGACGAGGCACTGCGGCAGAACGCCCAGCTCACAAGTTGCAGGGTTGCGAGTTCAATTCCCGTTTCGGGGGCAGTTTCGGCCCCGTCGTTTCTCCGGGTATCGATAACGTGAGCACTACTTGAACACTACTTTGACCTACAAAGAAGGGGCATTGCCGGAAACATCGCCTATTGTTTATCTTTTTTGCAGTATTATTAAACATTGTGTAGGCTTTTTGCTTCATACATACGCTCGTGCCCCACTGTCAATGCAGTGAATATATAGCCAATTTGTGGAAAGTCACCCGTGCTTGTTTTATATGTTACCTGGTTCCCACCATGGGAATGTGGAATTTCCACAAACGCAGATGAGAAAGACCCCTTTTCCTCCCCCGCCTGCCCCCACCCACTCGCGACAGCAGAGAAACACTTTGGCTTGCCTTTGTGGTTTTCGGCGGCGATGCGATGCGTGGCGTGTGCGGCCGTCTCTGGTGGCCGGTGATAGCCTGCCGGCCTCGCTTGATGCAGCTGCGCTCGACGCAGGCATTAATTACAAACGCGTGCTGCCACGAGAGAGCTGCTGCGGCTCTCGGTTCGATGATTGCTTGTGTCTGCCGTGCATCCCCCTCCCCCCCGCCCGCCCCCACCACCCATCACACTTTGCCTTTGTCATCTCTCTGCCTGTCAATCCTCCCATCCTGCCTTCGTTTCTTTTGTCGTGTTTCTTCTCATTGTTGGCGTGAGTGTCTCTCCCACTCTCTCTCGCTTTCTCTGCGCGTGTGTCTGTTTCTCCGCCTGTTTCGGTTTGCCTCCGTCTCCTTCTGTCTCTGTGCTACCTTCTGTATGTACAGAATGTGCATGAAGAGGCAGTGTTGTAGTGATCAGCACTGCCACGATCCCCGTAACTCAGGTTCCAAATCCTCGCTGCGCTTAACACCGCACGTAATGACGGTGATCTGAATGGGAGCTGTGCTTTCTGTAGGTTGACTCGGTCCAAAATGTGTGCCGAGTGTGGTGTGGAACAAGCTTCAGCACTGGGGATACGAACGGGGACGAGCGAAGGTTCCAGCCACACGACCCCTTCACGTGCCATGCGTGGCTTTATTAAGAGTACATACTTAACATCACCGTCCATTGAGCCGAATGAAAAAGATATCAGTATATACATCAACAAGGGCACTTTTCATGTTACATTCTATTGCAAAATCCTGCTTTTGAAGCATGAATGTGTAAGACTTGCACAGCCATGTGTTAAAGCCCCTATAGGAATGGAGCTCTTGATTCGGTAAGATTGGAGAGCTGTAACAGCTACAGAAACGTTTCTCTTTAATTGCTCGAGTCTCCCGCAGAGTGGATCAGTCGACCTTGTCTGGCACTGAAAGTAAGCGTGTTTTATGATCGGGGAGCATCGCATACTTTTCAAAAAACTCAAAATTGGAAAATGTTGTTACATTATTCTTTCACTCGCCACCCTTTGCCCTCGTTCTTTCCTCCCTCAGGCCCTCCCGCAAACCCTGACCTCTCCTTACCCTGCTGTCTCTTGTCTCTTCGGCCAGGGATATGGAAATGTGGTATTCCCGAATCTCTTGGGCATCCTTTGGTCACTCTGTCCCAGAGGGAGACAAATAATTAATTGATGTGCACATCTGACTTGAATTCGAGAGGCGTTTTGCAGTTTCACTGGCACTTTCTTCTTTCCAATTGACCCGTGGCATTAGAAATGAGAGTCATTCGGAGGGGATGTTCATTTAATGTTTTTTTTAACCATCGCACCATGAATGCTGAAACCCTTATTGTATGCAAGTTGAACTTGTTTGCACCGTACGTAGCCAATCGTGCTCATCGGAGGTGTGGGAATGAGTGTCAGTCGAGGCCATTAAATAAAATTAATGCACTTTCCTGCCAGATATTTACATTAAGTAATCTCAAATTATACTGCCATACATTCATCTATCTTCATGAGTGCGTTGATTCTTTTGTTTGGATATTTTGTTGGAATGGGTCTACAACTCATTAATTTTTCTTGCTCGTATTACTTAAAACACATGGACATCATGGAAATTCACTTAAAACATTAACTTTCAGAGTATCTGGCCAGAAGGCCCTCTTGACAGGGCACTCGACTCACACGATTGAAACATTTGAGTTCAAATCCTGGTCATGGATTTAATCGGCCTGTTTTTTTTATGAATCCATGTTGGACCAATTAAAATGAATACTTCATTGTGGGAACTATATATTTGGTCTTCCTTGTGGGGGAACTGTCCCCCCGCCTTTAGAACATGGATCTTCTGTTGCTGGTTCAGAGCCGCCATCATATATAAGCACGATCCCATTTGCTCATTTTATCAGCGGTAGAGTTGGTTAAACACAGAGGCTTTCGCGACCAATATCATCCAGAATATAGGTTTTTTTGGGGGGTTTGATCGCGTTTCTGGGTTTCGCCAGTAATTACAGCTAGCTTCATCAGGCAACAATTCTGGCTGTCTGCCTGATGATGCCCGTTGTAATTACTGGCGAAACGTACTCAGATTGTACATGTTGTGGATTTGCTCTCCTACACACCGGTGTGCTGTACTCGTAACGAATTTGCAAGTTATGTTTACGTGTCAAACCTTACTAATTGGCTGTGTCGGGTGTGGCGGGTTTAACGACACATTTATATTGACGTGATCCAACCCAAAAAACCTAAATTACAGCGGGAGAGTATCGCATTTATTTACAGTTCAGCTATGAACCAAAATGCAACCAATTAGCTAATTGAGGAAAAACATTTAAGGGGTGGGTGTTGGCGCATTGGTTGAAGACAGATCGTGGCCAACTCTTACAGCTCAGTTGGACTTTGCTGACCTTTCTCCTTGCCCTAGTTTGACTTATTTACCCTGACGTTTTTCCACCAAAATTAAAGTTTCGCGACACATCACGTATAATATATGTCTCACGTTGAGATGTATCGCTCTCCGAGCCCCTATACGTAGTGAGACCTCGCAGTCCAAAGAGAGACACGGTGCTTTTATTATGAAAACACTGCTTGCTCGTTTCAATGCTGAATTAAGGGCCTCTAGTAGGCGGTATTTGACCTTTACACGCTGGCCAAGCATCTTGGTAGAGGCGAGAATACCCGTACTTTACCGCGCCACACACGAACCTGCCCGATCAACTAACTCTGGTCGGAATCCTTGTGCACTGCTGAGTCGGCAGCAGTAGGGTGGTTATGAACCTTGCAACATAGTTTCATTGTGTACATGCACATAGCTCATGCACATCTGATTCGCACTTACGGTCTCTTTCGCTTACGCGTGTTGGTGCACGTTGTCATGGTGCGCACATTTCCCGTGACGTCTATGAGCATTTTCACGTTGTCCTTTGTGGAGATTATAACATCTCCATTTCGATGGTTAATGTGCAGACATGAATTACGACTGCACTCTCGTCCCTGATCTTTTCGTTCACAGCTCAGAAATGCTGAGGGATTGCATTTGTAAGATTCTTGAACAGCCGTTTGATGCATGCACTTTGAGCCAATTCTTTTTTTTTGCTGTTACGGCTGCATTACACAGAAATGAGTCTTCCTTCTGTGTCTGTTATGTGTTTTTTTTGTTTCGAAGGTCAAAGAGTTTTTTTTAATACATATCTGTCTGTGTAGTAAAAGGCATGTGTGATCTCATATGCGGTCTCTAAACTTGTATCCCATTAATCTCGCTGCTGCTGCTGCCGACATCACGACATCAAACACAGCTTCTCTTCTCAGCCGGTCACCGATCCGCGCGTGGGGAGCGAGTGTCTCTCCTCGTCCTCTGCTCTTTCCTCAGTCCAACACAATCATTCCCATCCTGTCCACACTGCCTACTCAATCATTGTTTGAGTCTTAAAAGCTGGTTTCATCCATATTGCATGTTATCGATTCTCCTGAACAACCCTTTTAGGCTCCCTGCCCAAGTCTCTCACATATGTATTTCATCTTTATTCATTTGTGGATGCATCCGTGTATGCGTTACCTTGGCCTAACTCGGAGTATCTGTCACTGCCTCGGGGCCATCATTGCTCATGTAAG